GTTCAAAAGGAATAGAAAACGGGTACTTAGTTGTCATTTTTGTATTTGAAACTTCTTCCTTTTAACTACACATTGTATATATGCAAGAACAAGAGTACATAACAGTCAAATTAATTTAGAATGCCTCCCCAAATACAGCAGCTGTATTAAACTAAACAACCTATGTGGTGATGGTGTCAAAACACTACCTTATATACAGGTACTCCTTCCTGACACCACAGTGCCTAAAACAAACACTGCAAAGCCAGCTCTTATAACACTTTATTTAAGATGTATTTGCTAGATCTTCTTTGGCAGCAAAATCTTGGCTGAGATACAGCTCAGAAACACTGTACAATTCATTCTGCTGCCATCCATCTCACAAAAGAAAGCAGAAAAACTCGGTGAGTCATGTTAACAGACATAAGTACATGGAAGTGAACATTATTACTGGTGGGAAACATTAACTTTGTGAGTCAGATTCACATATTTCATCTACTTTCTTCTGAAAAGCACGATCTACTTTGGCAGGCATACAATGTGATTTATTTGGATTCCTAAGAAGTGATATTTACAGATTAATTAAAGTGCTCAGAGACATCTTTCATGTCTTGGAAAAAAGTCTCCCCTTGTGCTCTACAAATACACTCTTTTAATATCCCAGTGGAATGTATTTTCACAAATATTTTCAGTTAATCTAGTACTTATGGTCTGTAGGTTTCCAGTAGTAAGAAAAAAATGCTGATACTCCTGAACAAAGTCTATGTGATCACTGATGCTCAATGAGGAGCTGGCCAATTACGCCCTTCTTTGCAGTGGCTAGAATACATTATATCAAAAAGAAAAAAGTCACATTGCATTCCTTTCTAGTATTAATCTTTTATGTAAGCAACAGCTAAAGGGATGGACTTTGTTTATATATACGAGACGGAAGATCTAACCAAGACTGTGAAAAAACCCTGGGCTACCTCTTCAATGGTGAGATGGCATGCAATCATCTTTGCTTTTTTAAACACGTTCAGTAGCAGAAAATGTTTGCTTACCTTTGCTTAACGTTACAGCATGACTCTCCTGACTTTTCACTCAAACACATTTAGAAGTTTGCCTCCAGTAGTTAACTTTTTAATCCAATTACCAATAAATTTTAACAATCCTTTCCAAAGGAAGTCCTGTACCAGGACTTGTAATTTAATACTAGAATACGGTAGGTGCAGTGACAAAGATCAGAGAAGGAAAATCTCACACTTCAAGGGCACTGAAGTTCAGCAAAATAAAGACATGGGAAACACAGAAATAAAATGAGAAAAGAGAAAAAATACGGCTGAGAATATTTCATACCCCATTTGAAATCATTCACCTTTTAAAATGAAGGCTAAAATAGAGTATATTTAGTTCCCATCACGTGCAAGAAACTACCCTCATCTGTAACTTGAAGAGCTTGAATTCAATTGCTACATTCCTTTACTATTATAACAGGATTCATTTGACTCCTATGAAGAAAAACATGTCCAAGTGCCAAGAAAAAGTAACCACAAGCCTTCCATTTTGAATTAGGTTAACAAATTGATATTAATCTTCATAGAAATGCCTAATTAATGCCACAAGAAATAAAACAAACAAGAACCCACGTCCATTTAAAAAGACCAAAAGAACCTACAGTTTTAAATTATGACACAGAAAGCTTTCAGATTGCAGTCGCCTCTTCAGATCAATCTCAAGTCATATTACTCATGCTATAAAATGCTAAGTGGGCTATAAAAAGTAACACTTATATCTACTGGTCTAAATATACCGGTGTTCACACCACCACTGCCTTTGGCAGATTCCTTGACCAAGCACCAAGTTACATGGAAAACAGTCTTGTCATTTCTCCAAGTCAAAATTAAGGCTTACTGTAAGAGGACCATGGGAACAAGGCATACAGTGTGCTTTTTGGTTTAATGTATTTTTTCATCAGTGAATTTGCGGTCTGCTGTGTAAGGTACTACTACCTTCAAATCCATGACTGCAGTTCTCTTCCTAAATCATGCTATTTCCATTAACATTCCTGTAGGCAGTGTAATAGCAAGTCCTTTGCGAAATCAAGATTCCCAAACTGTACATAAATTTGCAGCAATGACAATAAATACTCCTTACTGTACTAGCTGAAGTTAAAGGCCTGCTTCTACAAATTCTTTTCCATGTGAACTACCCAATTAAAGGCAACTGGGCATTATAGCAAGGACTGGGAATCTGTAGTACTGCTGTCTCAGATGACCATGATTAATCAGTGTTTAAACATGATCCTCCAAAAAAAAGTAGGAAATCATAGCTTGCCTTGGATAAATAGGGTCAGGGAAAAAAACGGCAATGACCTTCAGGCAGCTAAGAATGTTAGACAAAACGAAAGTGAGAAAAAATCCGAAATTCTTACACTATCATTTAGTGATATGCTTTTGGCACAGCATAGAAAAAGAAATACAACTTTTCCAGACTGTACATAACAAGATGTGATTCGCTTTCACAAATTAAGGAACTGGACAACTTGTTGCTGTCTTTTAGCATTGTCTGGGTATTTTATAATCTCAGCCATACACATGGCCACTTACCACATTTAAGTTGAAGCTCTCCTAAGCAGCCGTAAGCCTCCATAAGTTTTTCATATTGTCCTTTAATTGCATCCTTTTCTTCTGGAGCTGAGAAACAAAACGAAAGGCAGCAAACCTTAGTTTTCCAGTCATTATAATACTGTCAGACTGCTATTGGCTACACCAATGCTTCCCAGTTGATTTTGCTCAGTAAACAAAACTACACTACAAAGGTAGGGTTAAAATGATATAAGAATACAGTAATTAAAAAGTGATGGGACAGAAATGTATAGCCTCCCCACACACCACCCTGGAAGAAAGCAAGGCACTCGCTACCTTTCCAAACAATGTGATCATTAGTAATGTTCTTATTCTACGGTACAGACATCACATCAGTTTCAGAATAAGTAAAGAAATACACAGGCACATGTAAACTTTACACCATTCTGAAATAAGAACAAAAATAATAATTTGTCTGGCCATAAGCTAAAATATATTTTTTCTTGATGTGAAAAAAGAGATTGTTTCTGCTTCCAGATTCTCACAGCCTAATTTCAGACAGAATTGGATTTTTTCATGCAAGATAACGTAATTTGATGTAGACATAACATCAGATGTTGACTTTGAGAGTAATTAACTTATATTTTAGTGAAGTAAGAATTAGCTGATTAAAAGTAAATAAAGGGTCAGATGCTGATGTTAGATTTATGTATTTCTGCAACAACCGACTTTAATGAGCACAAACTGAACATGTAGATATTAAGACAGCACATGGCCCAAACTTGTCACTGGCTACTTCAAAGTAAAACCAAAGTGCTTCCTGAATGAGTAAGTCTGCGGTTTGTATATATTTCCCAGTGAGGAGTAAGGTTAGCCTCACGACTGAGGAAAACAGGCTATAACCCTCAAACGCTCATTTACTTCTCAAACCACAGATAAATAGCAACATGGTACTTTAGGAGGTTAGCTAATACTTTACAATCTTATGCTCCTAATAAACTTCAGCAGTTAAAAAAGTCTGAAACGTCTAGGACAAACTGAACTACCTGCTATGGATGACAGAAAACAAACAGACTTATCTTTATAAAACTCAAGAGACAAGTAGCTCAGTGAGAAGTGTGGAAAACAAACAAATATCCCATATATCCCTGACATTTTGAAGTGAAAGGAAGGACAGTTCCACTTGCAAAATTCCTTAGCAGAGGCAACCCCCAAAGGAAATCAAAATACGTTTGTCTCAATTTTTGAACCCATGACAAATAAGGAAGACTAGTTAATTTTTTCTTTATTTTTGCTATCAGACTTTCACAACCTATCTATCCTGCTTTCTTAGAAACACTGAGTGAGTCAGGAGAAACTAGTAAAATGTTGATACCACACACATCAGTGAAACAAAACATAAGCAAAAGGATAAAGGGATTTTTTATTGGGTAATGTAAAACTCTGGACAGTAACAATTTAAATGTTCAGTAACAGCACCTCTTAAGAGCTGAGACTTTGGAAGCTCAGTTCTCTGGCACTTCAAAAAAATCTTCCTCAAAAATAGTTTAGATAGACTATAACAATGTTTGGTTTTTTTAAAAAAAACTCCCTGTCATGCCTTCCTTATGTATTAAAAAAACCCAAACAGGTTAAAAAAAGTGATGTTTCACTTTCCATGGCATCTTCACAAAGTAGAAAAGAGCAGCAACAATATACTGACTTCTTTGTTAGATCTGTTCTCTGCCTTAAAAGTTAATCCTCCTTCCCTTTAAAATAAAAAAGGAAAACTATAAACAAAATCCTTGCTCCAAATATACCACCTTTAGGAAGAAGTAAAGAATGACAGAAACAGCAAGCAATTCAGATCTCAGACTGATCCAGGAGCTCGCAAACTTGCAGGCTAGGCACAACCCGAAAGCATTTAAAAGACACCTCGAAAGCACGGTGATACTCTTCAAAACAGAATTATAGGTCGGAAAGCTGGCTGTTAAAGTGTCTAGTAACAGCACGATCCAAAAGAATGGAATTTATTTCAGCATGGAAATAAGCAACACACAACTCCTGCCACTAACAGCAAGAAGCACCTGACACCGGCACGGACAGATGTCACTGACGTTTCCCAGAGTGAGCCAGCGGCATCACACACACATCAGCTCCTGGCACGGGACCCTTCCAAACAGACAGACAAATAGCTGCAGTTTGCCAGCAGTGGTACAGAAACATCCCATCATTCTGGGGAAGCCACTGAACAGAACATTTGCCTGCACAGTAGCATCAGTCAGGGCGTCAGCATCAGCAGAGCTGCCTGGAAGGGAGGAGCAGGCTCCGGGCACGAAGCTCCAGGAGGACTCTGGGCTGCGTTGCCACTCTTCTTGGCTAACAACTTGCCAATAACATCTACTACATGGCAGATCTGTTACTTGTCCTAGGGTTCATTTTGCTCCCTGAAGCACTTTCAGAAACCAAAAAAGTGACAAGGCGATCTTTCCTTGACACTTCCATGCACTCTCTGAAGACACAGCACACCCTAAAACCACACCTGTGGATAGTCCAAGAGGGAAGAAACATGCCAGACAGACACAGCTACACCTGCGGGTCATGCAAATGGAGAGGCCAGAATGTACTAGTGCATACAGACCAAATTTGTGTGGCAGAAAAAAAATACATTTTTTATAGATACTGGTGGAATTTGAAGACTCCTGTCCCATCATACATGGGGTGACTCCTTCACCCCACAGAGCTCCCAGCGACCGCAGTGCTGCCTGCCTCCATGTCCTGCCAGTGGGGCAGCGGGGATACAGGCGCCATCCAGCCAGCACCGGGAGGTCCTCGCTGGATTCTGACACACCCCAGCCAATTTCTTTTCCTTTTTTTTGAGGGGGTGAGGATAAGGAGGGATAAGGAGGAGGACTCCCCAACAACTGTTACAAAAAGTAACACATAGAAAGGATGACCAAAGTGTGACTTTAAAAGGACATCATTGCAGAGGGCTTGAGCCAAGTTCATATCTTATTATTAAAAAGAAATCTTTATAAATCTTAAAAATTTCTTCTTGAAATCTCAAACAACTGTCATCAAAACCCAGTCTGAAACCTCTCCTAGAGTATTCACAAACACTGCTGGGACACAAGAGCCAGAAAGAGAGTGACTAGACAGAGGATGTGCTACTGCCTTTGCTGGATGAAGAAGAGCACTAAACCAAAAATTACTACAAAACTCTACAGGATTGTTGACGAACAGGGAAAATATAAACCATATGCAACAAGTTTCAACAATGTTAAAGATACTGTTTTAGCAACAACATTTGACAGTTAGATGTGTCCAAAGACACAGCACTTTTCTGATCAGTAATTTCAAAACGATTTCCGTGTTTCTCTGCTAAACGTTCGAAAGTCAGGGGGTTTATTCTGCAACAGCTTTCATAAAAACTCTGAAATGCAGAGGCAGTGAGAGTGATCTGCTTGAAAACCCAGTACGAGGACTGGATGTTTATACTCTGCTCACATGTCAAATCCTTCATTTTTCAAGCCAGACATCTTGAGATACATACATACCTACGTATATCGTTAATGCACAATACTGCTACTGAAGTTGATGAAACTCACCAAAAAGTTTTCTACTTCGAGAACAGGTCGAGTTTGCAAATACACAGTGCATTTGTTTACTACTTAGTAATAGCAATAGGTACTAAAAAGTACACATAGTAATTACCAAACTACACTAAAGCTTTTCATTAATATTTTTAGTAATCTTTCCTTCCACTAAGCATATAATTGAGTATCCACCCCTCTGCAATAATTACCACCACCGCGCTGTGTTCATAACAGCTTTACAGACCTGCACACTGCCTGCATTCCTGAAGCACTTTTCTTAACATAAATTATGTAAAAGCTCCAGATGCAAATTATATAGAAGGTGGGCATGTTAACTCGAAATTTTAACCCTTGCAAAGCAAGAGGCACCCAATAATTCAATGAAACTAAGCTATAATAAACTCGATTAAAAGTGATCTTTTTCCGTGCATAAAATATTTGAGAACCAAAGAAAAACACCACGAAAAGACCTATAAGTACATGTACCACATGGCCTATCCAAGTGTGACTTCCTGCTTGTAAAGGCTGCAAATTCAATTTAACGGCTGGCAGGAACTGGCCAGACATACGCAGCAGGAACCAACACGTGTCTCAAACGTACGCTGCCCAGAAAGGTCAGAGACCGGAGGGAGAGGGCAGAAAGGTACCATAGTTCCAAGTCCAGTGTTAAGGACAGACACTGTAATACCTACACCTTAAAGATAAAACTGAAGAAAGAGCTCTTGAAGAAAAGACTCTGGGAGCAGGTTACAGATTCTGGCTCTCCCCTCTGATTCTTCAGCCTGATTCTGGAAATAGACACCTGCTTAGCTGTAGGTACTGCTATACATATATATTCTGTAGTATTTCTAAGTCCTTTTAGAAACATGGGTTTCATGTGATAGGGTCTCAGTAGCTTGTTTCCTTTATTTGTGTTGTTAGCATTTGGGGGAAAGAGGTGTGAATTCTCCCCAGAAAGACCAAACCTATAATCCAACAGAAATTCCACACACAAAAAAAACCCCACCAAAACACAAGAGGGAAAAAAAAGAATATATACACTACTGTCAGTGTCTTACCTAGAAATATGTTCAAGGTCTGCTATTATATGAGTTTAGATAATTAACTTGCCTCCAAATTCTGTTTTCTGTCACCCGCAGCACTTTGTTGTATTTTCATTTATTTTCATTATCTTTCATCTCTAAATTCTTCCTGTTCACATTCAATCTGAGCTACACAGGCATTATGCAAGTCAGACTGTATTCTGAAATACCATATAAGCCAAGCAATACAGAGTTGGGCAGAGGCCTGCGTTCAGAGTTACAGTTAAGAGAGTCATTAAGCAGTATATTTACCAATTTTCTAGCAAGTGGTATTTCTGGTTGAAAACACAACAAACAAATCGGGAAATTGGCATCTTGGAAAGGTCAGTTCACTGGCTTTCTGTCTTTGATTGAGAACATTCTGCTTCTAGTGAGGACTTACGATTTCATACTTGCATGTGTATACATGAATCTATTCATTCACAATCAAAGAAGAATGGACTCCT